TTTTAAACTACATTTACTTTTCAACAGCTGTCTATTGTTACACTATAACTATCTTCAACTGTCTGTTGTTACACTATAACCTTCTTCAGCTGTCTGTTGTTACAATCTAACCTTCTTCTGCTGTATGTTGTTACATTTTAACATTCAACAGCTGTCTGTTATTAGATTATAACCTTTCTCAGCTATCTGTTATTAGATTATAACCTTTTTCAGCTATCTGTTATTACACTGTAACTTTATTCAGCTGTCTGTTGTTACACTGTAACCGTCTTCAGCTGTCTGTTATTACATTATAACCTTTTTCAGCTATCTGTTATTACACTGTAACTTTCTTCAGCTGTCTGTTGTTACACTATAACTTTATTCAGCTGTCTGTTGTTACACTGTAACCTTCTTCAGCTGTCTGTTATTACATTATAACCTTTTTCAGCTATCTGTTATTACACTGTAACTTTCTTCAGCTGTCTGTTGTTACACTGTAACTTTATTCAGCTGTCTGTTGTTACACTGTAACGGTCTTCAGCTGTCTGTTGTTACACTGTAACCGTCTTCAGCTGTCTGTTGTTACACTATAACTTTATTCAGCTGTCTGTTGTTACACTGTAACCGTCTTCAACTGTCTGTTGTTACACTGTAACCGTCTTCAGCTGTCTGTTATTACACCGTAACCGTCTTCAGCTGTCTGTTGTTACACTGTAACCGTCTTCAGCTGTCTGTTGTTACACCGTAACCGTCTTCAGCTGTCTGTTGTTACACTATAACTTTATTCAGCTGTCTGTTATTACACCGTAACCGTCTTCAGCTGTCTGTTGTTACACTGTAACCGTCTTCAGCTGTCTGTTGTTACACTGTAACCGTCTTCAGTTGTGACGGAAAAGATACAACAATAGAACATGATAACTATTATTAGTGGAATGGTAATACAATCTATTTAGTATTAATACATTCATTATTATTTGTATATTGGTAGAGAAGTTGATATACGGCTATGTCTAAATAATAACGAATAAGCTATGTCTAGAGTCATAGCTATTAGTTTATATACCAAGCATTAACTAAAATTCAGATGCCAGAAAAAGTCATTACGTTAAGTTTGGGTTTGCAGGTTAAAAAAAAATACAGCGAGAACCAGGAAACAAATTTTAAGATTTATTGAATGTGGTTCAACGAATGACAAAACTACCCCTTTTTAACAAATGTGAAATCACCCGGCAAAAATAAACTTCTAGTTATTTATGACAAATAACGAAACACGTGTTACAACATATTTAATGGAGTAAAGTCACAAAAAATGGTTGCAAATGTAATTCGGAGATTTGTGAGGCCTGGATACGTCTGAATACATCACACTTTGTAAATGTACAAGTTTGTGATTTTGATTTGATTTTTTTACGTAAAAACTGGCCTTTCATTTGACAATTTATGTTTACATTCGGTGAAAATTGAGGTAAGATTATTTATGTTCTAAACCAGAGTTGTAATGAGTATTGTATCATCAATTTGTCACTTTCGATGTTAACGGTGTTTTCGGTCATAATCCCAATAACAGTTACACTTTGGTTATTTTTTTTTCAGGTAATATGCAGCTCCTTGAAAGTCCATAACTGCTTCTTGTTGGCGGCATCTTTTCCATCGGACTCTATTCTGCAGGACGACGTGTGCACTGTCCAGTGTGCCTACGCCCTGCGTGGCTTCTCTTCTGTCAACCATCCGAGTTCTAACTTAGTAACCACAGTGTGACTGAAGGTTTCTCGTCAATAAATACTCACGGTACAAATTATTTATCAACTGCTTCTATAAGATTTGTTGTTTTTTTTCTGGAAATTCTGGAACGGTAATGAGGAAATGCTTTATAATTTCCAGGGATGAACCGGAATCTGCTGATTGACTTCAAGTTAATATTCTAAACTCAATCTTCAACATTTAAAATAAACCTTGAGTTGATTGCATCTTTACACTGACCATTAATCTTACACGTGGAGGGGTCAGCTGTTTAATTCCTAAACGTATTTAGAAGAGTCTAATATGTTTTTTTCTAAAGTTAGTGGTAACCAGTACATCTGTATGTTTAGTAACTACAGACTAACATCTTTAAAAACGTTCCATAACCCCGTTACATAAAGAAATGTTAACCTTTGAGTTGTAAACAACATCCTTAACCTTCCATAACCACGAAAGTCGTTACACTTTAATTTATATATCGATAGATATCTAAGTAAGCCTACTGGAAATGTGATTAATTACTTTAGAATAAATAATAGTCACAACACAACGTTCTAGGTTGTCACGTTTCACAACACAACGTTCTAGGTTGTCACGTTTCACAACACAACGTTCTAGGTTGTCACGTTTCACAACACAACGTTCTAGGTTAGACTGTCGGACCTTTAGAACCAGCTACCAGACTGTCGGACCTTTTGAACCAGCTACCAGACTGTCGGACCTTTTAGAACCAGCTACCAGACTGTCGGACCTTTAGAACCAGCTACCAGACTGTCGGACCTTTTGAAACAGCTACCAGACTGTCGGACCTTTAGAACCAGCTACCAGACTGTCGGACTTTTGAACCAGCTACCAGACTGTCGGACCTTTAGAACCAGCTACCAGACTGTCGGACTTTTTGAACCACACATCATTTAGTAAATCGATCACCACAAGTTGTTTTAAACACCTTTACTTTACTCGGCAACCTAGAACGTTGTGTTGTGAAACGTGACAACCTAGAACGTTGTGTTGTGAGACAACCTAGAACGTTGTGTTGTGAGACAACCTAGAACGTTGTGTTGTGAAACGTGACAACCTAGAATGTTGTGTTGTGAAACGTGACGGTAGCTGGTTCTAAAGGTCCGACAGTCTGGTAGCTGGTTCAAAAGGTCCGACAGTCTGGTAGCTGGTTCAAAAGGTCCGACAGTCTGGTCGCTGGTTCAAAAGGTCCGACAGTCTGGTAGGTGGTTCAAAAGGTCCGACAGTTTGGTCGCTGGTTCAAAAGGTCCGACGATCTAGTAGCTGGTTCAAAAGGTCCGACAGTCTGATAACTGGTTCAAAATGTCAGACAGTCTGGTAGGTGGTTCAAAAGGTCCGACAGTTTGGTAGCTGGTTCAAAAGGTCCGACAGTTTGGTCGCTGGTTCAAATAGTCCGACAGTCTGGCCGCTGGTTCAAAAGGTCCGACAGTCTGGTCACAGGTTCTTAACCACGTGTCAGTTACATTATTACCAGACTAATGAATCAATACAAAACCCTAACGGACAAAAGGCGCGGTAAGACAATGCATGTAAGTAAATAGAAATCTTGATAAATAACTGAAATCCTTACACGAAGCGCACAATATCCAATTTCTTTAATTATATGGGCCTTACTTCAGAATTTTCTGGACTAATGACCTACAAAATAAAATATTCTACAAATGCATTTAATTAGAGCTTGAAAACATAATTATCACAATTTACAAGTGCTTTTTTAACCAATGAATAATTTCTTTACCACTGGTCACTCAACTGCTAGTTGATTAAACATTTGGCGCAGTGGATTGGTTAATCGATATAACTCATTATAACTAAGGTATATATACCTATACAGGTATAAAGGACCATCTTCATTCAGGTATATATACCTATACAGCTATAAAGGACCATCTTCATTCAGGTATATATACCTATACAGGTATAAAGGACCATCTTTATTCAGGTATATATACCTATACAGCTATAAAGGACCATCTTCATTCAGGTATATGTACCTATACAGCTATAAAGGACCATCTTCATTCATGTATATATACCTATACAGCTATAAAGGACCATCTTCATTCAGGTATATATACCTATACAGGTATAAAGGACCATCTTCATTCAGGTATAAATATACCTATACAGCTATAAAGAACCATCTTCATTCAGGTATATATATACCTATACAGCTATAAAGGACGTTCTTCATTCAGGTATATATACCTATACAGCTATAAAGGACCATCTTCATTCAGGTATATATACCTGTACAGGTATAAAGGACCATCTTCATTCAGGTATATATATATACCTATACAGGTATAAAGGACCATCTTCATTCAGGTATATATACCTATACAGCTATAAAGGACCATCTTCATTCAGGTACATACCTATACAGCTAAAAATAGGTATATATACCTGAATGAAGATGGTCCTACAGGTATAAAGGACCATCTTTATTCAGGTATATATACCTATACAGGTATAAAGGACCATCTTTATTCAGGTAGTATTAAATGTTTAAAAGCATTTCTTCGATTATCCAAAGATGATTCCTCGATACTTGAAAGTCCACATTTGGTAATACACATCAAACTGTGAGAAATATACCATCTTAACTTCAGATTTAGTCATCAGTGATGTCAACAAAACATTGGCGAATTTCATCTTGGTGACATCAGGACAGACATGCAGTGACGTGTTCTAGGTATCACCTGGTGACATCAGGACAGACATGCAGTGACGTGTTCTAGGTATCACCTTGTGACAGGACAGACATGCAGTGACGTGTTCTAGGTATCACCTTGTGATATCAGGACAGACATGCAGTGACATGTTCCAGGTATCACCTAGTGACATCAGGACAGACATGCAGTGACATGTTCCAGGTATCACCTAGTGACATCAGGACAGACATGCAGTGACGTGTTATAGGTATCACCTGGTGATATCAGGACAGATATCTAGTGACATGTTCAAAGTATCACCTGGTGACATCAGGATAGATATCTAGCGACATGTTCCAGGTATCACCTTGTGACATAAGGACAGACATGCAGTGACGTGTTCTAGGTATCACCTTGTGACATAAGGACAGACATGCAGTGACGTGTTCTAGGTATCACCTTGTGACATAAGGACAGACATGCAGTGACGTGTTCTAGGTATCACCTTGTGACATCAGGACAGACATGCAGTGACATGTTCCAGGTATCACCAAGTGACATAAGGACAGACATGCAGTGACGTGTTCTAGGTATCACCTTGTGACATCAGGACAGACATGCAGTGACATGTTAAAGGTATCACCTGGTGACATCAGGACAGACATGCAGTGACATGTTATAGGTATCACCTGGTGACATCAGGACAGATATCTAGTGACATGTTCAAAGTATCACCTGGTGACATCAGGATAGGTATCTAGCGACATGTTCTAGGTATCACCTGGTGACATCAGGACAGATATCTAGTGACATGTTCTAAGTATCACCTGGTGACATCAGGACAGACATGCAATGACATGTTATAGGTATCACCTGGTGATATCAGGACAGATATCTAGCGACATGATCTAAGTATCACCTGGTGATATCATGACAGATATCTAGTGACATGTTCAAAGTATCACCTGGTGACATCAGGATAGATATCTAGCGACATGTTCTAAGTATCACCTGGTGACATCAGGACAGACATGCAATGACATGTTATAGGTATCACTTGGTGACATCACTACAATAAGTGTTATATATTACATTTAATGTTAACGTCGTTAAAGCTTTAATCTGACCAACACTAAGTATTGTAACAAATTATCAATTTTATTATTAATGATTCAAACAATGGAAGGAAGCCTTTTCAGCACAGCTTTCGAACAATGGAAAGAAGCCTTTTCAGCACAGCTTTCAAACAATGGAAAGAAGCCTTTTCAGCACAGCTTTCAAACAATGGAAAGAAGCCTTTTCAGCACAGCTTTCGAACAATGGAAGAAAGCCTTTTCAGCACAGCATACAGGCCACCTCTCCTAGTCCACCCAAGATCTTGAAATGAATCCTAACATACAACGAATAATTCATTTCGACACTGGACAGTTACCAGAAAGATTCATTTCGGAACTAAACAGAGACTGAGTTCAACGTTGTTTGGTACTTAGAAAAGTAAATAAAAGTGTTTTGTAGCAGTTATGTATTCATATAAATATTTATTTGACAAAAGATCAAACAATCTAACATAATTAATACATCATAAACTGGACAGTGGTCAGAAATAATTAAAAGAAAAGCTAAATAACTGAATTGTCAAAAGAATAAAAGAGAACAACAGAGCAATCAATTTAAATTTCCGGTGATAACGTCCACGAGTGACGTAAAATGGTAATGGTCACAGAGGTCGAAACGGTTGAATAATGTGATGACCTTGGATTTTAGGGCGGGCGGCGTTTCACACGAGGGGGCGCCAAAACGAGTTGGAGGTGTTCGTTCTGCGAGCCAAGCCACTTTACAGTCGCAATGGAGAGGAATGTCTGAAAAGAACAGAATTCAGAATGAAGAGATATATAAGATAATTTATAGAACCTACAGTAAAGAGGTATCTCAAAATATTATAACAGTCAACATGGAGATATATATATAATAATTTATAGAACCTACAGTAAAGAGATATCTCAAAATATTATAACAGTCAACAAATACCAAAATTTATAAAAGCTTTTTGTAAAGCAACAGCTAAAACTTTTATTAAAATTCAAGAATTAGTCAATCATGAACACAGTGCCAATCTTGAAAATACATTTGTGTCATCAAATAAATGATATATATATATATA